CACACACACTGAACCGTCAAGTCCCGAGCTTTCTCCCGCAAGCGATTCCACGGGTAGCTGCGACATTTCCTCCTCACCGGTCGAGGACACCGCAACCATTTGTGTCGTCCCGGCTCCGTCTCGTAGCTTTGGGCCTCATTTTTGTCTTCAACAAAATCGACTTGCACCGATTCTTTTTCACGTGACTTTAGTTATCAAACATGTTTATTTTTTTATTTAGAAAGGGCCCATTTTTTTATACGAAGGAGCATGTGTGGGAATCGATTTAAATAAACAGAATAACATGCACTTCGCACTTTCTCAAAGCACATTTCAAAATATATCTGTTTTTGCATGGGAATTTCAAAATATATCCACTAGACCGAGCCTATCAATTCCGTAGCTTAAAATGCTTCCCTCCGTAAAAAAATATAAAAGCCGTTTAGATCATTAAAGTAGTGACACTTTTATATTTCTTTGTAGAGGGAGTCGATGGTTTGTTTCGGATTTTTGAACGGCAGAGCTACCGGTAGAAAACTGGTTTTATTTGAATTAGTAGAAAGCAAAACAGAAAATAGACGGAGAGGTACTCCTACCTGCTAGGACGGAGCGGGCCCCACTTGCCAGCGACACGAGGTCATCCCTAACCGCACTATTATTAAAGCACCCCATTGCGTCTTGATTGTACTCTGTGTACTACACTCAATTCTGAAACTACGACCCACCCAGCAGCCAGAGGGAGGGAAGGAAAGGGGGAGAAGGAGACACCGCGGCGGGCGGCGTGCAATGGCGACGGCGACGGCGACGTGCCTGCTGGCGGTCTGGGCGCTGGTCGCCGCCGGCCTGTTCGGCACGGGCCTCGCCCGGGCGTCCGTGGCCCCGGCCGCCGTCGGGAAGGAGCAGCGCGAGTTCGACTACTTCGCGCTGGCGCTGCAGTGGCCGGGCACCATCTGCTCCTCCACCCGCCACTGCTGCGCCGTCAACGGCTGCTGCCGGTAGGCGCTCCGCCTCCTCTTTTCCTCTATCCCCACCGCCGCCTCATCCGCGCGCGCGGGGCTCTCGTTCGGGTCGGGTCGGGTGGGGTTTCTGGCGCTCCGGAGATTCGATTCGATTCACCCTCCTGCCCTGCGCTCATGTGCTCACGCCGTTTGTTCTCCGTGTTCCTCGTTGCAGGTCGGAGGCGCTCCACACCTTCACGATCCGTAAGTGCACGGCGACCGTCATTCTTAATTTTGTGCTTTCTCGGTTCTTGGTCGATGTAGAATTCTCACTGGTGTGGTTGGATTTCCGCTGATGGAGCAGACGGGCTGTGGCCGGACTACGATGACGGGACCTGGCCGTCGTGCTGCCGCCACACCAGCTTCGACATGGACAAGGTGCCAGCCGCAGAGACCTTACTGATACGTGGCCGCTCTAGCTTCATTAGTCCTGCCCAAGTTCGATTCCATTCGTTTTGTGCTGACCTCGTTGATGCATGGCTCTGCCGTGTCTTCGTTGATTTTGGTGTAGATAACGCCTCTGAAGCCCACTCTGGACAAGTACTGGCCGTCCCTCTACTGTTCGACCTCTTCCACTTGCTTCAGTGGCAGGGGCCCCTTCTGGGCTCATGAGGTATAGTGTCAGAACTGTTGGATTGAACTCTCAGAATACTCCTCGATTGGTATCATCGATTGGAATTGTCACTAACCTTTTGTGTTGTTCCCTTACCTGTTGTTTTGCATAATGGCATTGGCATGTGCTGCTCGATCGGTCATTCATGGATTGCTGTCGTTTAGTGGGGTAATTTTCTTCAATCCGCTTGACCTAATGAATTGGATTGTTGTTATAAAAGAGGGTTGCTAATTTAGTAATCCATATGAGCACAAACATTGTTTCATTTCCATTGCTAAGTCTTCATCGTTTGTTTAATTTTTCACAGAGAAGCATGGAACATGCTCGTCCCCTGTTGTTCATGAAGAATTACAGTACTTCACCACCGCCATTGATCTCTACCTCAAATATAATGTTACAGTAAGCATCTGGCCATTGACTAATTAGGTGTAGCGCATTATTCTTTTTTCTTGCAGGAATTTTTGGTTTCTTTTGTTGGCTTTAAGCACCTGAACGTTTGTTATTCAAATTACCTTCGTTTCCAGATGAAGAAAACAAACTTAAAACGACTCGAATTGTAGTGCATACGAATTTGACTCCTGCTAAACTGTATCATAGAAATTTGTCTCTTTTACACTGTTATAATTTGGATTGGAATTGCAGGAAATGCTGGCGACTGGAGATATCCTGGTCTCCAACGGTAAAGAATATGCACTGAGTGATGTCATTGATACCATCAAGCATGCTTTTGGGGGCTCACCGCAGATCATATGCAAGAAGGGCTCAGTTGAAGAACTAAGATTATGCTTCACCAAGGATTTGAAGGTGAGTCATCTTTTGTCCTTGGACAGGTCTTCTCGGTTTCCATTTTTATTTACGTGAAGAGAACTTCAGTGCAAGGAATAATGTTGCCACAACAGTTCTGAGTGATGTCCAGCATACGATCAACTATCTCTCTAAATCCTGATAACAAAATAGGTGAATCGGATTTTTATTTGAATGGAATGGCATAACTGTGTCTGTCTGGGAAATTTTGGTCTGTAGTCTGTACTGTCCAGCTTACTTTCATTCATATTTTTTATTAGAACTCGAGGCTGCTTTCTCCTATTGTGTCATAAACAGGCGTTGGTTAGGTTCCTCTGTTGGTTAATTTTCAATAACCTATTTGACTAGGTCCCCAAAGTTGGATTACCTGCAAGTATTTTTGGTCAAAATGCATATCTCTTCATTATTCCCACGTTCTCCACTTCAGTCATTGTTATTGTACAACAATATACTCACCTTGATTTTATTCCAGCCTCGCGATTGCCTTACTACTTCGGCAATGTACAAGAACCTATCGAAATCAAAGCATTGCCCTCGAAAAATCTCCCTGCCAACATATGATCCCATCGGTAAGTCTTAATCCCTTATACAGAAGCTTTTAAGTTTACTTGGTATGTGTTGTTCAACCCCTGGTGCCCATGCTAATCTTGATCTCTGAATATCTGCAGTACTCACAAATTCGACACTGGAGATTGTCCCAGAAGCCAGCGACAACGGGTTGTACTTCTTTACATCCTAAGATACGGAGTATTGCTAGGCTATGAGGAAACAGATGCCTTCACGGTTCTGACTGCTTGCAAGACCTGTAGCCACAGGTGCTGGGCACTGAGATCCTGCTAAAACGGGTCTTTGGTTTGTCCATACTATTTGTAAAGGACAGCATTCCACATTAGAACAACTTGGTTCGATTATGTTCTGGATATTTGTAAAACTGCTGGATATCAAACTCAGATTACTCATTGTATGAATAATGGATGTTAAATGTACATATTAGTTCATTGGATTGCTGAAGGATGTGGCCTGTCTAAACGTTTCTAATAGTTATGAACGGTTCATGTCACATGCAGTTTGTTCCGGCCGCAGAGTTTAGACGTACTAGCAGTTGATTGATCGCCACCGAGACATTCTTGAATGAAAAATTGAGTTCAGGTGCCAAATAGTAATATCTCGTCATCGCATTCACTGCTACTCCCTCCGTCCGGAAATACTCCCTCCGTTCCTAAATACTTGTCTTTTTAGGCATTTCAACAAGTGACTACATACGGAGCAAAATGAGTGAATCTACACTTTAAAATATGTCTACATACATCCGTATGTAGTAGTCATCGGAAATGTCTAGAAAGACAAATATTTAGGAACGGAGGGAGTACTTATCATCAAAATAGATAAAAGGTGATGTATCTAGACATATTTTAGTTCTAGATACATCACTTTTTATCCATTTTGATGACAAGTATTTTCAGATGGAGGGAGTATATATTTTCCATTGTGAAGGTTAAAAATGGAGACTTTGCACCCAGGAACTGCAGCCGGTACAGAAAAACAGATGCATATGTAGTACAAAATTCTTAGCTGGTGCTCATGATGCACATGTAGAATACGTTTAATCAGAAAAACCGAGAGCAGTTACAAACTGCAGTGTATCGCCGGGTCATGTTACGAAAGAACTGCAGATTAGTTTCTACTACTACCCCACGGTCAACACTAAGATCTGTAATACCAAAAACAGCATTCAAACTTGTTTCAGGGCAAAACTACAGCTATTTTCCATGTCGATGTAGCCGGAATTTCCATTGGCACCAACCTACTCGGATGAACTCCAGGAGACATTTTGGGCCAGGGTCTCGTGCAAACTCATACAGTTAACACATCCAAAATGCATGAATCTGCAAAAGAAAAAAGTGACAAATGTGAGGGCAGCGTCATATGTTAGTAAAACGATGCTGGAACTACGTGATATTTACGGAAGTTTACATAACAATAGACGGATATATAAGATGAACACAGGAAGTGTAATTTAAATCTTACAGAAGTCATCAAGCTACAGGTTCTAAAGTTTACAGACTTTTGAACTTGGGCATTTTACAGAAGAAATCAATATTGGTACTCAACAAGTAGGATATATAGGAGGCGATCACTTACCATCAGGATGAATGATCTGAAGATTGCACATGCCATTTGGAAAAATGCATGTATAAACAGCTCCATGCTCAAAGATTACTTCACCAGAGAAGCTAGTATGATTGCCACACATGCGTCACAAGGAGGAGGATCATCTAAAGCAAGCCCATTTCAGCCATACTCTAAGATAACAAGTAGAAAGGTGATCCGGTATGTCAGCCTGCATGAGTAAGATGACAGCCATGAGTACGAAATAAAAATTGATGAGTTGTCTGTTGAAGACATCGGTTGAAATAGTACAGGGAAGGCAAGATGATAACATACAATGTCCCAAGGAGCAGAGAAGTCATCAGTTGACAGGTACCAGCTTCCACATTGTGATTCAATAGCCCTCTTCCCAGTGAAAGTTCCCAGTTCAAGCAGCTGATCAACATTATCCTCGTCGGAATCATATCTATGCCGTCTTCTCTTCTTATCTCTTTTTCTTTTTTTATGACTACTTCTAGTCAGATCCTTGTCATCAGTATCTGAAGTATGTGAAACTGAGCACCCGTCGTTTTGAACCAATGAGTAATCATAAGCCTTGCGAAATTCTATGCTGTTACCAGTGAACAGAGACTCACAAGAATCAGCTGATTTGCATAATTTTGACAAACCACAGAAAATTACCCAGGACTGGATGCCTATCCACTTAAGTGCATCAGGAAACTTTGTACCCATGAAATCCTTTATGAGAGCAAAATGATCAGCATCAGTCAAGTCATTCATGGTCCTCACAAGCTCGTCCATCCTCCTTCGTTCTTCCTCGTGTTCTTCGTCGTTCATGAGGTGCCAAAGTTGTCTACCCTTGGCAATGACACAGTTCAATAGGATAAGTTCGTCAAGAGATATCTGATCAATATGTGCCGACAAAAGAACCTCAAGCCAGCAGCATGGGAATGCTAACTTTGTGCATTGTGCATTCGGACTGATGAGCTTCCCTAATGTTTTTAAGAAATGAAGAAGCCTTTGTTCGTCTAGATGAATAAGAATATACTGAGACAGAGTGGAAAACTGCTCCTCCATCAGAAAATCTTCAACTACTTGCCACACATCTTTGAAATTCCCCTCATACATCAAATAGACAAATTGATCTACAAAATATTCTGTATCAATTTGCAGTATTTCACCATCTTTGACAGAATCAGCAAGCTCTTCTGAAGACCAGAAGTCTGGGACATATTCAAGGAAATTTTCCACTGTCTGGAGAACATCAAGATCACGAAAGTAATGAGGCTTAGTAGCAACAACAGCAGGAGACTGACCATGCCTGCCTTTCCACTCAAGCTCCTCCCAGCAAACATCACGATTCACAAATGCAAACTGAGCAAGTGCCCGAGCACCCTTTTTGTGTGCTGACTCCCCAGTAGCAGCAAAGTGGCAAAACCATTGCAGTATCCGCTCAGGGTTTCCTGCAGGTCATAATATATAATGTAAGCAATGATAGATAACATCACATATAAGAAGTGGCATCAGAACAAAATTCTGTTCTACTCCTAACATGTTTTGCATAATGAAAGACAAAACAATATGATACCTAAGCTCTAACCCCTAACATGTTTTGCTTAATTTGATTAAGATTTCATTAAAGCCGTCCAGCACAAAAAGGTAAATAGATTTAGAGTAAAAGACAGGCAGAACATAGCATACTATTTATGTTAGAAAATTACATTTCTACAAGAGCATATGTATATGCAGCAAGCAATTCCTGTTAATAGTTCCAAGATGTTTCTTGATGAACTATAGAAATACACCATATCCTAATGATGTAACGAAAACATAATTTCATTTTTTTTCTGTTAGTTTATGGCAGTGCATTACTGTAATGCCATGATATGCTACTAATATGACATACACTCTAACTTGTTGAAGCAATGCCCACAAGCGAGGGGCATTATGAACAAGCTGAAGCAGCTGAACAGATAGTTTGCTGAACCATAACGAATGAACTAATGATATATCTGAACATAATATCTATAAATATATTTAACTGCAGAAAGCAAGTTCTGGATACTAGATACATAAACTGGTGAATTGCAGCAAGCAAAACTAAAATAAAACCCATGTGAGTAGAAGCAGAAAATACAAAGAAAATCAAGTTCTTAGTGAACCTGCCTTGGAAGAACTTCTCCAGCATATGACACTTCTTCGCTAAAACAGAGCCAGCCTTCACAGGCTTCTTGTCGAAAATCATCCGCAGCAGGCGGGCGGCGACGTCCCGCCTTGAGTCCTTCATCTCCAGGAGATCGAGGAACAGGTCCCGCTGGTCACGCGGATCGAGCAGATGAATCGACGAGATGGTACTGCACAGCCACATCCGAGCCTCATACCGGCCTCCAGACCTTACAACCGACTTGATCACCGACTCAGCCTTATCCAGAAGTGATCTCCTCGCCCTCACAGCATCTGTATCAACATTGCCGTCGTCTGTCGGCACTTGCAGAAAGAGCTGAATCATTTTTTTCCCTGCTGATGATTTCTGGCAACCTGAAGTTCACAAGCACAGCGATGGTCAGGGACGGGTTTCAGTTCAGTTCAACCCATAACACTATTAGGACAATATAAGCTCCGCCCACACCTTATACTAAGCCCTACAAGGTAACACGCAGCAACCAGATCGGGGACGAACGGGCGGGGGTAGAAAGCACGGTTGCGGCGAACCCTAGAAACAATACGAGCTCATGGCTCCAAAATCCAGCCAGTGGAGCTAGGGTTCCTTACCTATGCCAAGATGAGAGGGGATCAATTAGCGCCGGTCCGGTGCCGGCGCCAGTAGGGCATGGGCGCCGTGGATCGTCGCCGTCGGCGCAGCAAATTGCGATAGGGGGGAGAACAAATTGGATCGAACCAGACAGCGGGGAGGGATACGAATCCGGGCGAGAGAGAGAGAGAGCGGGCCAGGGATGTCAGGGCGGTCGGGAGTTGCTGTTCGTAATCATCATAGCATTTTTTTTCCCGAGAGAGAAAGTAAAGTATGCTTCCCTATTTGGCCCAAAAATAAAATAAAATTCATTTTCGACACTGCATCTACATTCCTTCCCTGAATGGCATTTCCGTCGATTTCGTTACACTTATGTCTATTTGACATGCCAGTATTTTGCTCTATGAACCAAATTGGCCCCGATTGTTAACAACAACAAAAGAGGGGAGAGAGACCGACCGACCCGCGGTGTGGTTCCACCAGGTGTTCGCCCGAAGTCGCGCGTCGGGATTTGTATCCCACAGAGATGCGCGAGCTCTAGGTTATCCCAGGATCCGATTCCGTTTCTAACGGTGAGTGTCAGGACTGACAGTGGTCTAAGCTTATGCTCTGTGGCTCGAAATTGCTCGTCGCCGACGAGTCCTACTCCGGCAGCGGCGAGAGTTATCTCTCCTGTGGTGAACATACGGGCCACCGGTCGGGCTGCTGACAGTGGCCCCGCCGCCACGTCTCTTCCTCCAATCAGATGCGAGAGGATGAAAACGCCTTTTGCTAAGACGCCTTCCACCTTTGCTGACGCCGACGAGGCAATATCTAGGGTTTTTGGACAGCTTTGGTCCATTCCCTCCCCACACCGCCGCCGCCCCCATTCCTCACGCCCCACCACCTCCACATTGGGATGGCTCCGGAAAGACCTAGCTCGATCCGGTTGCTTCTCTCCATCTGATCTGTTCCCTGTCAAAAATCTTCGCCCCTTTGATCCTCCACCAATAAACCTCAAGATCGTCAGAAAGGGGATCGGGGCCGGATCGAGATCCTTCGTGCAGGTGGTTGCCATGGCGGACAAGGGGCCTCAAACAGGAGCACAGAAGCAGCGCGCACCTGCGCCTCGTAAGAATCTGGTCCGCCAACAGGGAGGGCCTGGGCGCATGCCGGACAAACGCGCCATCGCCCCTCCAAGGCTGTTGCACCGCGACAAGCTCCACCGGTTGCAACAGCTCCTCCGCCACCTGCCCCCCTGCACCTGTTGTGCAAATCCTCGACGAGCGCTACAAAGATATGGTATGCTTCACTTGCGGTGGCCCTGGGCACTGCGGTGGCAACTGTATTCAGGCGAAAGTTTGCTTCATCTGTGGATTAGAGGGTCACAATGTCAACAACTGCGCAGCTTGGGCTCAACCACACCCCGTTGCTACCTTCTTTGGCAGCTCTACGTTGGGTTTGGGCTTCTACCACATAGATGCCCCTGTGGGACGGGAAGCTAACTGGGTGAACTTCAGGAACTGTGGTGAGGTCTAGATCATGAAAGGAGAAATCAGCAAAGAAGACTTGATCAAAAATCTGTCTGGAATTTTCTGCAAAACAAAACAGTGGTCGTGGCAAGTTAGGTCCCTGTCAAAGAAGAAATTTTTGGTCAGATTCCCTCCATGGAAGAATGTTGAGGAACTGATTGAATTTCCTGCTTTTGATCTCCCAATCATTGGTGTCTCTGTCACAGTGGAAAGGTGGACTGGGGCAATTGATGCTTTCTCTGAATTAACTGAAGCCTGGGTTCTTATTGAAGGCCTGTCGCCCAAATGGTGTACTTGGAAAGTTTTTTCTCAGATTGCCTCATGTTTTGGGATCTTAGTAGATGTGGACTGGAATGGGATGATGAAAAGCTTCTATGAAAAGGTCAGAATCAAGATTGCGTGTAGAAGTCCTGAGAAAATTCCCTTTGAAAGGATCATGGAAATGAGGAAGAAATTATATATCGTGTCCTTTACTGTTGAAGGGTTCGACCAAGTGGGTGCCGATGACCCGAATGATGATAATGGTCCTACTGATATAGATGTGGATGGCATGGATAATGACCTTGATGCAGATGATACTGGGAAGGATCACTTGGAAGACGGGGAAGATGACTTTGATGAACTGGACCTAGCTAACATAGCTAGTACATCTAAAAACTCACCTGCTGATAAAGGAAAGGAATGCACCAATTTACACCCTGCTGTGCTCCTGGATGCTTGCCGCCCTCCGTGTAAAAACCCCGAAGAAGAAGTGGAGAATGGAGAAAAGGATGTTGTCATCATGTTCCTTTTGCTGAAGCCGTGAAGTTCTTGGAGAGGTCTAATCAGGCTGAGACTGAGGGCATTAAAGCTGTTGACAACTTCACAAATTCTGCCCAAAAAACCTACTACTCTGACATATTAAGAGACTATGATAGCTCTGGATCAGACACTGCCACAGAGGCTGGAGATTCTGACAATGAGGTGGACACTTTGAAGGAACCTGTCATCAATTGCTTGAAGCTGCTGGACCTAAAAAACAGAGTGGGAAACAATGCTGCTGTGGATGCTGCTCCTCCTCCTTCTACCAAGAAAAAAACCTCTGAGCAATGGGGACCTGTTATCTCTCAAAGGCCATCCACCAGGTTGCAGAAGAAATAAATCATTATGGAAAAAGCTGCTGCATATAAGATGAAAAATAACCTGGAGATTCCTGCCACTTTTAAAAGTAAGTCATTCGACAACGCTCCTGTTACTAATTTGGAGGCTTATGCATCTGCTGTTGATATTATTATTGGGAACACTGAGGTAGATAAACAGAACATAATAAGTGATTTGATTAGAGCTGAAACTGAGAAATGTCTTGAATTTGCTTCTCAAAATCCTGAGATATCTTTACCTGATGATTTGGATAGCTTGTGTGATGAAGGGAATGGAGTTTGTACTCCTGAAACATCTAAAATTGGCCCCAGCAAACCAGGGGGCACTGCTGGTTCTGTTGGTGGTTTAGTTACTGTTCCTAGGCATGGGCTTTTTAGCCTCTCCCACCCTTTTAAAATTCCATGATAGGTCTCTTCTGGAATATTAGGGGTATGGGCCAGAAAGGGAAACTACAGTGCCTGTCTGATATAGTTAATAAGTATAAACCTGATTTTGTTGGGTTTCAAGAAACAAAGAAAGAGGTTATTTCTGAGTCCTTTTTAAAAACCTTGTCTGGATCTACTAACTACACTTGGCATTCTTTGCGTGCTATTGGCTCTACTGGGGGGATCCTTGTAGGGATCAACTCTTCTTCCTTTGACCGTCTTGATATTATCTATAAGAAATACTGTCTGGTAGTTACCCTGAAAAACAAAACTGATGGTTTTTGCTGGCATTTAGTGGTAGTCTATGGGACAGCTTATGATGTTGATAAAGTTGACTTTATAGCTGAAATGCATGAAGTGTGTGATGGGTTATCCTATCTTGTATTATTCGGGGGTGATTTTAACTTGATTAGAGAAGCCAAAGAAAAATAATCTGGGAATATTAACAACTTGTGGGCTTTCCTATTTAATGATTGGATTAATAAATGGGCCCTGATGGAGATCAAGCTAGCTAACAGGGTATATACTTGGGGGAATAACCAGGATAACCCTGTTTATGCTACCATTGATAGAGTTTTCTCTTCTACTGATTGGGACAGTCACTTTCCATTAACCACTCTCTGTGCTCTTCCGAGGTTTGGTAGTGACCATGCCCCCCTCCTTTTGGACACTGGAACTGGGGGGAGTAAAATAAATAAACCTTTTAAATTTGAAAAATGGTGGTTGAATCAACCTGGATTTGCTGACCTAATCAAACAAGTCTGGGCCACCCCTTCTCCTCATGAATCTTCCATTGAGGCATGGCAATTTAAGACCAAATTGTTTAGACAAAAAGCTAAAGGGTGGAGTATCAACCTGGAGGCGGCTATGAAGAAGAAAAAGAAAATTTTACTACAAGAATTTTATATTCTTGATATTTTTGCTGAACAAAATAGAGTATCGGCTGCGGATATCCTCAGGATGAATGAAATTAAAAAGGAGCTGGAGGATATATGGAGAAAAGAGGAGACTACCATGTGGCAGAGATCCAGAGATCGAAAGATTCTGGAAGGAGACAGAAACACAGCTTATTTTCACGCTGTGGCTAACCAACGTAGATGGAAAAATCAGCTGTCTGTGATCGAGGGCCCTGCTGGCCCTGTCCACTCCACGAAAGATATGTTGGAGGTGGCTACTAACTTCTATAAAAACCTATTTGGGTTTGAGCCAAAACCTAATATTCATTTAGGAGACCAATTTTGGTCTGCAGAGGAACTTGTTACAGAAGAGGAGAATAACATCCTAGAGAAAACCTTTTACCGAAGAAGAGATCAAAGAGGCTGTGATGGGGTCCTATGCTAATGGTGCTCCTGGGCCTGATGGTCTCTCCTTCCTCTTTTATCAATCCTTTTGGGACGTTATAAAAAATGATTTTATGGCTCTAGTTAGGGATTTTGAGTGTGGTACTTTGGACATACAAAGGCTTAACTAATCTATTGTTACTCTGATCCCAAAAGAACCTGATGCTAGACATATGAAGAAATTTAGACCTATTTGCTTGAGCAACTGTTCTATTAAGATTTTCAGCAAAGCTTTGTGTAACAGAGTGTCCCCTATTGGGGATAGATTGCTCTCGCCATGCCAATCTACTTTTATTAGGGGCAGATTCATTCTAGAAAGCATTGTCACTGCTCATGAAGCT